TTGGGAGAAATGAAATCAAATATCTTCCACTTCCAAGAACACATAAAATCTAGAAAGGCTAAATGGTATCCAAAGTTGCACAGCTGGTGCCAGACTTGGAAAATAGATTTGGTTCCCAGAATTCTCTTTATGGCTGTGAGTCAATTCTGTATTTTAAAAAGTTTAGTCAACTCAATTGTTTGACACAATGCAGACAAATATCCATCTTACCAAGTTGGATTTATTTTTCTATTTCAATCAGTTCTCCTGTGTCATGTAAACATAACCTCAGGGATATCACCAGCCACAGAAGGAGAAAAGCTTTAACATGATACAATTGTGCTTGGAGCTGGCTGAATCATTCAATAGAATGCAACAAACTTGGCCTTCAGCATTGAGACCAGGAACAATGGATGCGATGCTTTTTGACATGCTGATTGTGCAAAGGTGACACAAAATGGGACTTGACCATTAAAGGCAAAATGTCCATATATGGGCAGAAAAGAACAACCTCAAGTAACTAGAAATCACTGATGGGTTGAAAATATTTCATCTTGAGTTCATGCTTCCCGTTGCTAGGAACTTCTACATTTCCCTGGGGCTGTGAGAGTGAAGCATGAGCTCTTCCATCAATGACCTGGTGGCTGAGTCATCTCTAACCCTGAAGATGGAGCAGTTTGTCCCTCTACACTAGGACTCTGGTCCTCTAATTTAGACCACAAATTCCTAATCTGACACTACTTTTATTCCATCTTCTTCTAGGAAACAAGTCAACATCATGCATTAAAAAATTGTTTTCCTCCCTCATACCATAAACAAAATAAAACAGACATTTGGAAAAATATTTGTAACTTATATTACAGACAAAATGTTAATATCGCTAATATGTTAAAGGCTTCTAAAACTTGAAAAATAAAAATTAACAACCCTATTCAAGCAAAGCCATCTTATAAATGGTTCATTTTCAGGGAAAAAAATGCATATGTCCCTTAAACATATGAAAAATATTTAGCCTTATTCATAATAAGAGAAAGACTAAGTCAAACCAGAGGGAGACAAAAATCCTCACCTACTGTATAAGTAAAAATCCAAAACTGTGTCAGAATTCTGCATTGAAAAAACTGTGAAGAATAGGTACTGTCATATGTTGCTAGTGTGAATGCAAAACGGTGCAAACTTTATGGAGAGAAATTTGGCATCTAGGAAAAATATATTTACCTTTTAATTTGTTTCTATAAATCTATTCCAAAGAAGCACTGGAAAAATGTGGAAAGGTGTTTATTTTAGTGTTATTGGTTGCAACACCATTCATAATTACAAAGGACAAGAAAAAAACTAAATGTCCATCAACAGATAACTGGTAGAATAATCCATGGCGTACTCTGCAGTTATAAAAAAATAAGAGAGATCTTTACATATTGCTATTGAGTACTCTCTAAAATACTGTTTAAGAAGAGTAAGGTGAAGAACCATTTGTATAGTAGCATATAGTAGAGTATGTGTGTTTGTGTATTAGATTAAAAATAGAAGGGTAAATGAAAGACCAATCAAAATGGCTGAAACGTTAGGGTAGAGGGGATAGGAATAGAAGTTAGATGCCTCTTGTTCTGGTTCTATGGTTTTCATTTTGGAATTATGTAGCTCTTTACTTTTAAAACAAAAGTTAAAAACAAAATGAAATAAATGAACATTATCGTATATTCACAAGATACAACCCACAGAGGAATGATTTCAAGAGCTCTTCAACAGTAATTTTTAACTGTTCATCCCTAGTCGGATATAACCAAAGGTTAAAAAGAACCACAAGGAAACCTTAAGCAGTTTTCAATAATCATAATTTTAAATAATATGCATAGCATAATTTTGAAAATATTTATTTTAAGGAAGTAAGAAAGTATTTATGTAATAGGAAGAAGAAAATTAAACATAAGAAAAAAATAAAATAAAAATTTTAGGCAGTTAAGTAAAGCTTCTGTAATCCTAAATTTGAACTGAAAATATTAACATAAATTTGTGATATTATTTCTCCTTCAAAACAAATAAAAATATCTAGAAACAATGACCAATCCAATAGCAATGAAAACCCCTAGTGCCCAAATTTTGGTCTCTAAATAAATTTCCCTCTTATTTAAGTGGCTGGTTCCAAGTCAGGGTATGGGAAACACACAAAATAAGGTTGGAACATATAATCCTACCAAAAGAAAAGAATCTATGAAAGAACATTGGGGTCATGACAAAAGAATATAGGAGAAATTTGAAGAAGCTCTCAGTTGTCAAGTTGGAGTATTTTGAACATCAAAAAGGATAATGACAGCAGTAGTTCAAATCATATCAACCATGTTAAAATCCATGTGTTGAAATAATACTTTAAAAAAGAAATCTCTTTGATCATATGTAGAGAATGCTAAGGAAACAATTCATTATTTTGAAAATTAGTAAATAAAGGGAAAGGATCACTCATTTATCCTGCTTTTTTGTTCAAATGATATCATGGGGTACTTAAAAGTTCATCTGGAGGGACGCCTGGGTGGCTCAGTGGGTTGGGTCTCTGCCTTTGGCTCAGATTGTGATCTCAGGGTCCTGGAATCAAGCCCCACATCGGGCTCTCTGCTCAGTGGGTGGCCTGCTTCTCCCTCTCTCTCTGCCTGCCTCTCTGCCTACTTGTGATCTCTCTCTTTGTCAAATAAATAAATAATCTTTAAAAGTTCATCTGGAAAGCTGCTTATTTATAGGAGAAAACCAGCTAATAAATACAAAAATTAGGATAGGATTAGCATATCACTAGCTTGTAACCCCTAATTAATACTGGACTAACTAAGCAGTAACCATCAATACATACTAAAATCATTAGCTAAAATGGGGAATTCTAAAAGGTAATGCTTCCCAAATTTTGATGTGCATATGAATTACTTTAGAATATTGTTAAATTCTAGAATCCAATTTGGTAGCTCTGGGGTTGAGCCTGAGAGTCTGCATTTACAACAAGCGAACACATGGTGCCAATAGCACTGGTCAGAGGGCTATTCTAAGACAAAACAGCTCTTAAAATTCTTGGAATGACCCAGTATTATCCTCTGACCCTTGGTGTTCTCCTGTTGCACACAGATAATTTCATAGAACAACATCAGACAAGGTCACTGTATGACCATAAGGGATCAAAACAAAAATTGGGGTGTCTGGGCGGCTCAGTCAGTTAACCATCTAGCTCTTGATTTCGGCTCAGGTCATAATCTCAGGGTCAGGAGATTGAGCCCAGAGTTGGGCTCACACACTAGGTGTGGAGACTGCTTAAGATTCTTTCTCTCCCTCTGCCTTTGCTCCTCTCCTCCAAGCACTTCTGTTTCCTGACAGCATCTTATCCAGAGCAAAGCTCCAATTCCTTAAGCCCTCCCTAAAATCACCCACTGTAAGTCCAAGCCTATAATGAATCCTTTCTAACATACTCTGAAAGGTTCTATGTTTCTTTTGGTATGCGTTTTCTCTCATTATAACATGTAATAAACACAACTTGTTTAGTTACATGTGTATTCTGGTGGTTTTTGTTGGAGAAACTGCAATAGTGTGGTGAGTAAGGTTGACAGCTAAGTCACTAATCACTATGTGGTGTTTTAGAAACTCGCTTTAGAAACTTTAGAAACTCGCAGCACCACTTATAAAGTAATCTTGCCCAAAAAGATGAATCTCATTAAGCCTCTAGATTTAACCATCAGTTTTACAAGAAATAATGCAGTATAGGAGAATATTTTAAGGAGCCATATTCATTTCAATTACAAGACAAATTGCCTATTTTTTCTCTAAACAAATAACTGACAAAAATAGAAGATGGAGGAGGAACATATAAATTAAAAGAGACTCAATAGTCATATTAATCAATTGTAACATGCAGCCCTTATTTGGTCCTAATTCAAACTATTACACAAACTAACAATGATAATGATAAAATGACATTTGAGGATATTTGAACAGAGAGTACCTCTTTGATAATATTAAAGAATAATTATAAATATTTTTAGGTTTCATAATGGCAATGTTCATTTTTCAAAATATTTACAAATAAAATGATAAAATGTCTGAGATTTACTCTAACATAATCCAGTCATGATAAAAGGAAGTGTAGGGGGGTATAGACAAAAATACTGGCCATATTGGTAATTGCTAAAAGGTATATGACAATTCTTTTTATTATTCTCCCTACTCTTAATGTGTTTGAAAAGCTCCATAGTAAACAATTTTTTTTAAGATTTAATTAATTTATTTGAGAGAGAGAAAGCAAGAGAGAAAGAACACAAGCAGGGATAAGGGGTAGTGGGAGTGAGAGAAGCAGACTCCCCTCTGAGCAGGGACCGCAGTACAGGACTCGAACACAGGACCCTTGGATCATGACCTGAACCAAAGGCAGATGCTTAACTGACTGAACCACCCAGGCACCCATAAACAATCTTTTTGAAAATATTTTTTTTAATTGTTTTTTTTTTTTAAGATTTTTATTTATTTATTTGACAGACAGAGATCACAAGTAGACAGAGAGGCAGGCAGAGAGAGAGAGGGAAGCAGGCTCCCTGATGAGCAGAGAGCCCGATGCGGGACTCGATCCCAGGACCCTGAGATCATGACCTGAGCCGAAGGCAGCGGCTTAACCCACTGAGCCACCCAGGCGCCCTTGAAAATATTTTTTACCATTTAATTCAACAGATCACTTTTGAAAGAAGATAAGTTGGAGAAAAAAATAAGGCCTATAGCTCAAAATGACTATACATTCTAGAGAAATAAGCCGTAAAAATTTTAAAGTCTGAACTTCCCACCACTGAAATTGTTTTCAGATCCATTTTTTGAAAGCTATTAGGATATTCACCTATTTCTTTCCTTTCTTTTTTAAATCACTAACACGTGTCAACTGCAAGTCAAGAGGAGTATGGAATTATTATGATGTAGACTCAGGTGATGGTCTTTAGAGAAACATTTAATTTAAATGTTTGATTCTTAAAAAGAAAAAAAAAAAAACATACTATTTGAACAATTACCTGGATCTGTAGCAGACATCAGTGAACCAAAAAACAAACAGTCAGTGAAATGGAAGTCTCCATTTTTCAACTGGCCAGCATATACCATAGCTTTCACAAAGCCATACATAATTAACCTGTTGAAGAGAAAAATAAGATCTTCAAACATTATGCTGAATCCTGTGCAAATCCATGCTATCATAGCTAACATTCTAATGTGTTTCCTGAGTAAGCATCATGCACAAATTACCGCCACTCTGCCAAGTCATGGTCATGCTAGCTCTCAGTACACTGTGTAAATCTCTTGACTATGAAATACATTTTAACCAAATATCCCAATTCATTCACCTGCTAAAAGGCAAAAGAATATTTTATAGCATATTTCAATGAAAATAAATACATCTCAAGGATATAAAAAATAATCTGTCAAATATGTTACAGCAAATTATGGCCACAAATATAGCAGCTGGGTTAACATCTGTAAATGGATTGCTTTTCGGTTTTCATTGTTTTGTGTGGTAGGGATGTCTGAAATGTGTTCAAATTTCAAGTCTGTCACTGCAATGAAGAGGATATTTGTCACACAAAGCACACCCAGTCAACAAGTTGCTTTACAATAGATCGGTCTCTACCACTGCTAATGTCAAGACACTTTCACACTGGGTACAGAATCACTGTTAGTAAAGAACTCCTATAACTTCAATATGTTGTTGAAAATGAATCCTGAAAGGTTTATGTTTTGATCTTGCAAGGATAGCTACTCTTTTCATGAGAGTATAAAAGGTTTATAAGCTTACCAAACACACCATGGAACATAGCTTATCTATCTTGGTCATCATTTGCCACCCTATAGCTTTTAAATTGTATTTATTTATTTAATTGACTGATTGTTGCCAAAATCCTAGTAGAGGAAATACAGAGATTGGTGAGCTGGACTATAGTAAAATCACTATTAGTGACTCTGAGAGTCTTTAGAAATTGTAGATCCTCAGACCAATAGATGGATGTTTAAATATTCACATGCTTTGAAAATTAATTTCTTTAAAAATGTTCTAAGTTGTGAGCATGGCTAAAAAGACTAGAAAACAGATATTAGAAATTATAATGTCAATGAAAATGCAGATGTTTCAGATTCTGTTAAAAAAATTTCTCCATGAGAAAATATTTTGGACACCTCTGCATTTAAATCTAGGTTCTAGGGGCGCCTGGGTGGCTCAGTGGGTTAAAGACTCTGCCTTCAGCTCGGGTCATGATCCCAGGGTCCTGGGATTGAGCCCCGCATTGGGCTCTCTGCTCAGCAGGGAGCCTGCCTCCACCTCTCTCTCTCTGCCTGCCTCTCTGCCTACTTGTAATCTCTGTCTGTCAAATAAATAAATAAAATCTTAAAACAAAAATTTAAAAAAAAATCTAGGTTCTACCACTCACCAGCTATGTGGATTTAGAACATTACTAAAACTTTCTGAACCTCAATATCTTTATTAATGAAATAGTGATAACAATAATAGCTAGCCCATAGAATTGTTTTAAGGATTATCAGAGATAATGTACATTTTGTTTCTGACACGTAGTACATTCTCAATGTGGTTATTATTACTGCTAATATTTATCAAAATAGGTAATATGTGCTTACTATTTATATTTCTTTACATGCTTTAACTAATTCAATCCACACATTAATCCTATAAGGAAGGCAGTATTTGCATTTTATAGATGAGAAAACTGAACACAGTGTCATCAGGTAACAGGCACAAGATGATACAGCTATTAAGTTGCAAAACCAGATCTGAACTGTGGGGAACTGACTCCTTAGCCCAGGCTTTTAACCAGCACATGATATTGCCTAGATGAATAGTTCTATATTTTATATTATATATTGTCCCATATAATATATTCACAGCTATCCTATTAGGTGGGGGCTCTCGTTTGTACAAAGGCACAACAATGGAGTATCCCTAAGAACTTGGAAATAATACTACCCTCTGAGTTGTAATTATTAAGCCATAATGGGTTCGAGCAGAGAGGGCCAACATTACTATGAAGAATGTGGACTATCGTGAGAAGGCTGAATCTTAACTAGGCTGAAGGTATTAACATATCTGAGAAAGGCTTTGTCACGGGACACAACAATGGTTGTTGGAAGAGGCAAGTCCAAGAGGTCTCAATCATGGCAGTTTACTCACACTCATGCTGGGAAGGGTATTCTGCCAGTTACTAGGTCATGCAGCCTGTTGACAGGTGCAGGGTAGCTTCATTCAGTATATTTGTTCATTCAATAGACATTTGTTAATTAATCCCTCCTCTGTTTCAAGCTCTGTGCTAAGTTCTTGAAACACATCAGTGAAGAAAACAAAGATTCCTGCCTTTATGAGCCATACATTTTACCTGATAGATAACCATAAAAATTACCATAAATTTGCTTTATATCTGTTAATTGTATCATGCTCGGAACTGGAATCTGCAAATGGGATCAACACTGGGACAATCTGGGCAGTTAAAACATTGACGGGAATGCTCTCCAATAGTCATCCCTTAAGCCTCTTTGGGTACTAACCCAACTTCGCCACAGCCCTTTCTCATTTGAATTAGGCTTCAAAGATTGAGCATCAACAGGCTCCGGAATCAATATAAACTTTATGACCTGTGACTATATTTCTGAATTTTATACTTAATAATTAATTTTACAGGCTGGGAATCTAGGATTAGAATTAAAATGACTTTTCCCATATTGCACAGAAGCCATTAGATTAGGTGAAAAAAATATGCATATACACTACCTAGGCTTGAGAAGATTATATAGAAACTAGAAGTCACATATACTATTGATGGAAATTAAATTAAAGCCTTAATTAAAGTATCAATTTTCAAATATTCTATGGCTTATTAAATGGTTGCCTACAAACTTATGCCAAAAATTAATTCAATATGTACCAAAAGGTGTGTATTCAAATTATATTATATTTCTCTTGTTTTAAGAGTGAAAAATTCAAAGAAATCTAAATATCCAGTGAATAAATTACAAAACACACATATATGGACTAATATGCAATTAATACTACTATATATAAGATTTTATATTAGACACAGAAAAGTAAACTGATGAAGCAAATTATAAAATGGTAACAAATAATAATTTCTAATTTTATAAAAATTGAACAGACTTAGGCATGCATACAAACAGGAAAAGACCAGAGGTATATAATCTAAAATGTTAATAGTGGTTAAATAATGAAATTAAATGTGACTACTTTTCTTTTTGCTTTTCTACATTCTTCCAGTTCTTTTAAAAATTAGTAATAACAAAAAATAAATAACAACATACATTACCAAATGCTATTATGTAACACAATAGATATTTATTGTGTCAATCTTCAAAATTCTATAAATTAGGTTCTATAATTATTCCTTTTTACATATGAGAAAATTAGGACTCAGAGACATTAGATAACTTGACTAAGGTAACAGAAATTAGCTTATGAGAGAGCGGGATTTCAACCTAGAGAGCTGGATGCTAAAGCCTACATTCTTAACCACCAACTCTATAAAGCTTTTGAGTTGCTTTGAAATCAGTAGAAACACACATGAATGTACACACACACACACACACATGCCTAACCACAATTAGTTTATTTACTTCAAATCAACTCCTGGACATAAAATAACTATAATTCCAATGGCTTACTTGAGATATTACCAAAAAAGGAGAAAAAAAAGTCTAGTTCATTGCAAGCTCAATACTAATAACAATGGTCATCATCACTGGTAATTATAATAATCCAATAATTAGTGTCTATACCATGTGCCACACTCTTCTTTATAAATGGTAGCTCTTGTCATTGTTACTACATTATTAATAAAAACTAGTTATAACTATGTTAATTAGGAAGCTAAAAAAGGTGAAACCATTAGCAATTATCATATTCTCAAAGTGGTACAGTCTATCAGCACTTCACAGAAAGTATTTCAGATGCTCAGGATACAGGGGAGATGTGGTTTGATGGGGATAGGGAATCTGGTGAAGTCCAATACATACAATGCTGTGAATATGATGAACCTGAATAAGATGTCCTCCAGGGGTTAGTGACAGCCTGGGTCACAGGGATGGGTAGAAAAAGAACTGCCCCATAAAAGACAGAACTGTTGATAACATTGATTTTGACAAATATCCACTTGGTCCTATTCTTTGAAAAGCAAAGTCCTTGTGCTATGGAGGATACAAAAGTAGAAATCCATAACCTACTCTCAAAGAGTAGAGTATTACATGACGGCAGTCATGTCACTGATGCTAATAGGAAGCACTGGGTAAAAGAGAATTTGGGGAAATGCCCAACACAATACTCTACAGACTTACTTTATTAAATGTCTAGATATGTGAACTTACTTTAAATTTCATGAGCTTATTTTACACCATTAAATCTCCAAACCTAAAGACTTGTGAAAAAAGTTCCATGTGCCTCCCTCTCTTTTTCTTCCTTCCCTTATGTTCTTAATTTCCACATGAGTGAAATCATATAGTATTTGTTTTTCTCTAACTTATTTCACTTAGCATAATAATATATTTTAGCTCCATCCACATCATTGCAAATGGCAAGATATCATTCTTTTTAATAGCTGAATAATATTCCATTGTGTATACACATGTGTACACACACCACCTCTTCTTTATTCATTCATTAGTCAATAGACATTTGGGCTCTTTCATAATTTGGCTATTGTTGAAAATGTTGCTATAAACATTGGGGTGCATGTGTCCCTTTGAATCAATTTTTTTTTTAAGATTTTATTTATTTATTTGACAGAGAGATCACAAGTAGACAGAGAGGCAGGCAGAGAGAGAGGGGGAAGCAGGCTCCCTGCTGAGCAGAGAGCCCGATGCGGGGCTCCATCCCAGGATCCTGAGATCACGACCTGAGCTGAAGAAAGAGGCTTAACCCACTGAGCCACCCAGGTGCCCTTGAATCAGTATTTTTGTATACTTTGGGTAAATACCTAGTAGTGTAACTGCTAGGTCATAGTAGTTTTGTTTTTAATTTTTTTAGGAACCTCCATACTGTTTTCCAGAGTGGCTTTACCAGTTTGCATGTCCACCAAGAGTATAAGAGTGTTCCCCATTCTCTGCATCCTTGCCAACATCTGTTGT